TTAATTGGATTTATTTACTTAGACTATGTTTTGAGATTTTAGCTTTATTTTCTATAATTTTAATTTATTATTTAATTTCATTTAATATTTTCATTAAAGAGAGACAGTATAAATTTCGTCACTTTTCTCATATTTGTTTTAATGAAAAAATCGAACAATTTTTAAATGAGTTATTGTTGCACAAAAGATCTATTTCTTTTTAAAAAGCCTGCATATTTCAAGAGAGAAATGTTTTTTAAATCGAATAATCGATTTGAAATCAAGTTTAGTTCATTTAGTCAAAATGAACATTTCTCTCATTGAGAGATCTTCAAAGCTTTGGAACGAATTTAACACGGCACGTATAGGAATCTTACGGGTCAACAATCCGGGCTAATGCGGCTAATCTGCTAAATTTATATAGGGATCAGTTGGTCCACATACGCGCCGTTCCCATACGAAAGATGATAATCGCTTGGTTTAGAATCAGGTGGTTCTCACCGAAAGAGCCCTCGGCTTACATAGCCTCATCTCAAAATATCAAAAATATAAATGAAAATGAGAATATAATGAAGGATATAGCGAGAACATATGCGGAATTTATTTAATGATATAAGATTAATCACGCGAATGATTACGCGTGGTAAATTAAGAACCGCAATAAACTTCGAGTTTCATTTTTTGCATTTAAAAAACTATATGGAATAATTTCCGTTTTATTATATATACGAATATGAAAAATAAATGATATAACAAATATTTTGCTTTGAAAAAAAAATTACGAAAGTAATCTCTATTAGTATCTTGAAAATGTTAGGAAGAGATATTAAAACCAAGATATATTTAATAAAGTTAAGATACCAAATCAGGATGGCGAAGGTAATAAATAGGATTAAGTGAAAAATCTTATCTTATCATTTTCAACATCTTGACCTAATACCTTTGGAATTTCGCTATCCTGTTTTTCGCGCTATCGAAGAACAATCACATAGTGATGAAAAAAGGCTGAAATCGCAGAAGCAACAAGTTGGCGCATCTCTAGTTTTGACAACACGACACGTGTCGCACGTGAAGAAACGAGTGAATCGCAGCGTCGACAAGAAACTTCGTAAGATTGCGAATTTGTGGCCCGACCAAATCAAATTCTTCACGGATGTCGAATTTCCCGGATCGCGATCCACTGTCCCACAATCTTGTTAAATTTCCCGTCGCGAAAGACCGTAAAAATGTAACAGTCGAACGATCGGACCGGCTGACGTAAATCTCGCACGATCTCGCGCCCTCTCGTAACGACCGAATCGACCGGTGATAAATTGCCGGAGGTAAGTAACCCCGATGAGAGAACGACGACTTTTTTTCCGGCGCGTTCTTTTTTTAGGTCGCTTCCTTCTTTCACGAGATCAAGATCCCGCCAGGTTCAGCGCGGCACGCTGCCAGCGGGGAATAACGGTAGGTACGCGAAAGAACACGCGCGTTTACGTAAAATGACATGAGAGCGAGAGTAATATAGGCAAACATATATTAGAGTTTTAGATATGCCACAGCAAAATTTATCTTTTTTAATACATCTCTGATACCCTGCATCAATGAATATTGACTGCTGCTCATTTATTATATATGAGAAATAATCTAGTTTGTGAAGAAAATGAATTTGTAGCTAGTGCAATTCATATAATAAGGATTTCAATATTTGTATAAATATAATACAATATATAATAAATGGTTCTTTAGTTAACCAATTAAACGAATTTAATAATAAAGATAAATCTTTTTATATTTCTTTAAATTAAAATGAATTAGATAAAAAGCAAATGTAACATCATAAATATTGTATGAAATCTTATATGTTGTAAATATTATATAAAAGATTTGATAGAAAGAATTGTTTTAGATCCCAAGACCATTTTTAAACCATTTTTCTGTAAGAACAAGAAAGTTAAAGAGAAAACTTTTTACAATCTCTCCTTTAACTCATGAAATAAAGTCAAAATATTCTTTCTAATTTTGCCAATCAGCAGGATATATCTTATGTGCACTTATGCGACTATGGTATAGCAGAATATGTGGTAACTTGAGACAAGACCTTTCAACTTAATACATATGTTTGGAGTACGATGTGTATGTGTGCTGAGTCACAATAAAGATTTCGTTTTTCTTCACTTTGTTTCTTCAAACTTACATTAAGTAAAAATAAAATGAGAACAAAATGTTATTTATAACTCAAACATATTCCCAAGCTATACAGGGTGTTCAGAATTGATAGCAAAAAAAAGAAGATGCATATTCTACAGATCACAATAAGGTAAAATTGTCCTATGAACACGTGTCCGAAAACGCACCCTCTTTGAGCTACAACTCTCTCCCCCAAAGTTTCCCGAAAAAATTGAATTTTCTGTATATTGTCTAAACTTGGACTTCGAATTTTACGAAAATTTGTATATATATGTATCTTTGCGGGGTTTGTTCATTTTTGATGTCAAAAATTGTCTAATACGAGTTTTTTTCCGGGAAACTTTGGGGGCTGTAGCTCGGAGGGGGTGCGTTTTCGTATACATGTTCATAGGATAATTTTACCTTATTTTATTTGTAGAATATACCTCTTCTTTTTTTGCTATCAATTCTCGTACATCCTGTATATTGCAAATGAAATGTGCATCTCCCAAGTTAGCACGCTTTGCAGCAAATAAAAAGGAATGAAAGAGAAAGGTGATGATCGCATCACGTTCATCGCACCGTCCAGGATATCGCGACACCGTCGCCGACGCGAGATAGAAGGGGCGATGGACGGTGCGAATATATACACGTTGTGTTGTGACCTATATTTCTAAAAATCTCGGTTTTAAAATAGTTCGTCGCACTAAGCGCGGTGAGATACCGGTAGTCGCCGCGTTGCGTTGCTTTCCGGTGCAGAAACCGCATGCGGTCAATTACGCAATACGCCCGCATCAGCTTCGAGAGCGTGATCTCTACTCTTTGCACCATCGGAAAAACGCACTATCTTGCAAAACGATTCATGTATTAACGACACCATACCACGTTCTACGCTACATAATTAATTTTTTGTTAAGTATTTATACTCTAGGTGAATTACTCTAATAGACATATTTATATCTAATCTTTTCATCACATTAAACACCATTAATACACTGCATGCGAAAGAAAGGAAAAAGAAAAAGAGAGAGAGAAAGAGATGTTAGAATTGTTAATTTTATAAACTAATGTATGTGATTTAATCACGATGTTTCACTAAACTCTAATATTTAGTCAAATATTTTTATTTATTTTTTAAATATCAATTTTATAAACTTTTTAAAGCTGCAATTTATTATATAAATATAAATAAATATAAATAAAACTGGCAAATTAAAGTTATAAGTAAAATGTTATTTTTTGTATTTTCTAAGAATTTTTGCGTCATGCCTGCATAAACAGTTGCGATGATTGACAAGATATAAAGCCGCGGTATTTAGAGCGGTTAACATGTCAATCTTAAATACTATTAGTAAAGCTATTTTTCAACAAGATTTTATAACACGCAAGCGAACACGTAAAAAAACCATCATATATGTTAACATTAGTTTAGCAAGGCTAAACAACTTCTTCTATACCAAACATTTTTGAGACTTTTCTATATATCATTAAAAAAAATAAAAACTAGCTTATATTTTAAAATTTAGAGTAAAATATATTTCGCTGTACTACAACCAAAATGCACAATTCAAGTACTATAATAAAAAAAGAATATAATAAAAAATTGTTTAAATAAAATTTTCATTCAGGATCTCATTTCT